TTGGATTGAAGTCTGACATGCCCTTGTGTGAGAAGAAGTTCATGCGCTTATACCAAGTTTATAGAATTGGTGGTCTGGCGATTTAGGTTCTGATCTCTTGCTGTGAGGGTGCCCAATGAACGGTGTCCTGGAACAACTGCCATATATTTATTACTCTAATGCTGTTTTTTTTTTATTGTATCCCTGGTGGTGTAGCAGTTACACATTGGGATGCTAGCCTCAAGGGTAACTGCAAGAGAAATACATGAGATTTTCTAGTCCCGGAAATAGTTAAGTCTCAGAAACTCACTGGGAAAGTTCTACCCTGTCCTGTTGGGTTGGTAGGAGTCAGAAGTGACTCGGTGGTGAGTTTTTTAGTTGCTTTGAAATGATATGCATTAGTCTAGCAGGCATGAGTCTGCCTTTGTGGATGAGTATTATTCAAAGTTCTGCTTTACCCCATCCCTCATTGTTCGTGTAAATAGGGTCCAGTCACTTAAGCTTTTAACCTGTGCAAACAAACAATTCATAAATAATGGTCTGAAAAGCTAGGCTATGTATGTACAGTTTCCTTTTCTCAACAGTGTTTTAAATTCTATACCATTGGCAAAACTAAGGCTGCTATTAATGAGACCAGTCCCTGGAGAAGAACATCATGATTGGTAAAATATGTAGAGGGCCAGCAAAAGAGAAGACCCTTAACAGGATGGATTGACACAGTGGCTGGAACAACAGGCTCAAGCACAGGAACAATTGCGAGGATGGTGCAGGACCAGGCAGTGTTTCCTTCCGTTGTTCATAAGGTTGCTATGGCTCAGAACTGACTCTATGACACTTGACAACAACAACGGTGATGATTTATAATGCTCTCTATTTTAAAATGACAATGATGTCTCTAAAGTGAGCCAGACACACATATAAAACATAGATATATGGGCGAATTTTGGACTTGCACTTCATCGTAGCCATAACTTAAGAACAATTAGTTCTCATGACATGGCTCTACTTGATGCTTGCCCTCATGAAGAGATTACTGAAGATATTGGTGCTATAACCAATTGTGGTGAAGAAATCAGATAGTGCCCAGCTATCAGAAAGAATAGCATCTGAGGTCTTCAACATTTGTCTTAAAACAAGCAACCATATAAGTGGGGCATCAACTAAGTCCACATGGAGGAAGCACAACATCCAAGGATTGTAAACAGTGAAATAAAACTCCAAAGAAGAGAACAATATCAGAACTTAAATTGTGAGAGCCCAGTTTTCAGAAGGCTATGGATAAGTGGAAGCCCCAAATCTATTTGCAGGCTCATCACATGAATTAAGCCTCCAGGGAATCCCCCGTCATAGTCCAAGGATGTGAATAACTGCTTTATCAGATAGAAAGCATTGTAAAGTGAATTATAGAAGATGTATTTAGATGAACAATCTGGAGGAGAAAACATTAGGACTGACAGTTCTGGGGGGACATGGGAGAGGGAGAGGTGGGGGGAAAGGAAGAGGTGTTAACAAACCCAGGGACAAGGGAACAACAAGCGATCCAAATTGGTGGGGAGGTGGGTGTGGAAGACCTGGTAGGGCATGATCAAGGGGAATGTAACAAAGAGGAAGTGCTGAAATCCTGGTGGGGACTGAGCATGATAGTGGGACAGGAGGAGAATC